GGGGGTCTATTTTTGAGCTTGGACTAATCATTGGCGAATGTTTTAGTACACTAAAACATTAGATTATGATTTTAGTGCACTAATGGAAATTCGTATTTTTGAATTTTATTTTTTATCAGTCTAAAAATCTTGCACTAATCGTACATCGTCTAATCTAATGTCATTTCAAACCAATAATTATTAGTGCGACATGTTAAATTATATTGGCTGTACTGTATTTTATATTAATTTTATAGTTAATACTTGATAATATTTATGATAACTACAAAATTTACCCATAAGAAATTTGTCACGAGTTTTTTGTCAGTATTTTTTATTTCAATTTGTGTAATGTTTTACAATGGAGGGGAAACAAAGTCAATAAGTGTGACTTATGAACAAAAACAATAATTAATTGAATTTGTTCATAAGCATCTAAAATTAAATTCTAAAAAATTTGGACCATCTTTTACCATGAAAGATGCCCAATTATTATGGCAAAATATTACCAAGATTTTAAATGAAACTGTTGGCCCAAAGAAGACACTAGCGAAAAATCGTAAAGCTGTTAGTACCTATCGTGACAAAAATTGTATTAAATTTTACTTATTGTTTAGTCAATATTGTACAATATTTTGCATACTTTGCGCTCTATACTTAGAGCAGACTTAATCGATGGGGGTTCTAAATATGGGCGTAGCTCATTAATTAAATTTAATGCAAGAACTTTTATCAGTCTAAATTTTTGTATAAATGCCCTTTCGGACAAAACTACAGAAAATAAAATTTTATTAATGTAAATAGATAATTTTACATATTGTAATTTGTTTTGTAACATACCAATGAACGGATCCTCCGCTAAACGAAATTTCATTGTTAATGGCCATTATCTTCAACTATTTCTAAATTACTAATAACTTGCACATAATTTATATTAAGAAAGTGTTCCATTTTAATATTTAATATTAAATAAATTTGAAAACGTTATAAATATAAAAATTTCATATAAATATGAATAACAGTAACATTAGTATACTAAAATCATAATTAGTGTGGTAGATACCACTCTAAAAAGATCATCTAAAACTTTAGTACACTAATAAATATTTTTTAGCATACCAACATTCAAAAATACGGTTTTTTAGTTTCACACTAATAGTTGCACTAAAACGTCATGTTTTAGTATACTAAACAGATTAGTACACCAATATAAAATTCAAAAATAGACCCCCTGAAGAGCTAGTATTTGTGCCTATATACTATTAAAAACAGTCACAATAAATTGTGAAAAAAGTATTTTGATACATCGATTTTTTGAAAACAATCAAATTACAATGACGGTAAAAAAATTCTTTCGACGGTTGGCAAGGGCCTTTACGTGTTGTCTTTCCAAAAAGCAGCGTAATATAAATGGTATAGTATCTTAGCTTAGTCTAGTCCAGGTATTTTTTTAATGAAATTTAGCTTAACACGATAGACAACAAAAATTCTCTCGATATCTAATGTTTTCAAACGTACGTAGAATTAATACACCTATTTATTTGCACATGTAAATGTAGTGTAGATTTATATATTCGGTATTAAAAAATTCATTTATGATTTTTTTTAAATTAACTATAATTAGATTAATTATTTTTGCAATTTTATGTGTTATTAATTAGAAAGCACGGACTGTTACTTAAGTCCAGTTAGTAGACATGATATTCGGGATTCAGGAACTCAAACAATGACGACGTTAGAAAATGTGTCTAATGAAAGGGTAAATATTGTTGACAATAACATTAACAAGACTGTGGAGGGATGTGAAATGTTCGAAAAAGAGGTTCACGAACTTGGTGTGACGGAGCCTAACATGACAGATATTGAAGGAGCAGCCATTGTGGAAAAGAGTAAGCAAGAAGAGGGTACCATAAGTATTTTAGAAATTGTTTGAATTTAAAATTGAAATACATTTAATACTGAAATTTGTATACATTTTTATAAAAGCTTAAACATTTTAAAATAAATATTTTTGCAATTTAATGTGTTATTAATTAGAAGACATGGAGTGTTACTTAAGTCCAGATAGTAATCACGATATGAAATCTGGCACAATGCACAACGAGGATTCAGGAACTAAAACAACGACGACGTTAGAAAATGTGTCTAATGAAAGGGTAAATATTGTTGACAATAACATTAACAAGACTGTGGAGGGATGTGAAATGTTGGAAAAAGAGGTTCACGAACTTGGTGTGACGGAGCCTAACATAACAGATTCTGAAGGAGCAGCCATTGTGGAAAAGAGTAAGCAAGAAAAGGGTACCATAGGTTTTTTAGAAATTGTTTGAATTTCAAATTGAAATACATTTAATACTGAAATTTGTATACATTTTTATAAAAGATTAAAAATTTTAAGATAAATATTTTTGCAATTTAATGTGTTATTAATTAGAAGACATGAAGTGTTACTTACGTCCAGTTAAAACACATAGATTTAAAAAAGGTACAATATGCTTCTTCGGAAAAAAGAATAACTCTGGCACGATAACTACAGATAATGGGCAATGTTATAAGTTCTATAAAGTAAGCATATTATTTTATTGTCTTCACTATTTGATAACACTGGGTAATCAACATTTTGAGATTTTATTTTGGTTATATATATATTTATAATATTTTATTTATTCTAACAAAATGCTTTTAACTTTGAAATATTTTAAGGTTTTCATTATTATTATTTTAATTAATAATAAAAAAACAATTATTTATTATGTTAATAAATCTTGAATATTTTTCGGGGGATATTAAAGAATAAAAAAAAATTTATTTAAAGTTATATACAATAGTGTATTTTTGTTTCCCTCGGAATAATTAAAAATATCGAGATATGCATGTAGGCACAAAAGTGAACATATATTGATTAAATAGATCCTAAAGTTTAAAATTATCTTTTTTTCAGGAAGATTTAAATTTAGGTTTTGATCGACCTTTTAAATATCCACAAAAAGTGAAATTTGTTGTTGATGATACACAGCCCAAATGGGCCTATGATGTAGAAATAATTGGAGACCCTTATGTTCGAAGGTAATGTAGAATGGTTTAATATCAAAAATAATCAAATTAATACTGTTTCGTATCTACAGGTGCTGTTATTGTTTAAAAGATGATCATCTTGGTTTAGAAGACTGTATGAAGTTACAGATAGATTCGTATAATTTTTACTATCCTTATTTATAACATAACGGTACAAAACCAGCAGTTTGTGATATTTATTCTGTTAATGTTTCAATTAAACTTATAAATTATCAATAAAAATTATATGTTATAAAGTTAATACTTAAAAAATAATGTATTTTAATAATATTCTATGTTATTTCTAATTCGTGATAAATATATTGTCATTAATTAAAGATTCTTTTGATTAACACATTTAATATAATAATTATCGATAGATGTATGGTAAAAAAAAAAATATAAAAGATATCTAACAGTGATCAAAATCGCTATCATATGAAACGCTTCGGTGTAAATCTATAGATAGTGTTTAATTCTAAGAAATTGATGGATAATTACAAAAGCAACATCAACTCCTATTTCTTTAATTATATCCTGATTAGGTTCTTTGATTTAAAAATATAATATTTGAATAAATACTAATTATAATATTTAAATTAAGTATGAAATTGATATTCAATATTTTAATATTGTAATTTATACGGAGAAATTATTAAAATAATAAAGTAGTTCTATAGTTCTTNCTTAAACATTTTAAAATAAATATTTTATTTAATAAATCACATGAACTCAATGCAAAAAACAGTAAAACAAAACAAATCTAACACCTCAATGTTAATAGCTTTACGTGCGATGTAAGTTATGTAAATTTTTATCACCTTATATTCGGTTAAAATTTGTTGGATAATCGTCTNTTTTTATCACCTTATATTCGGTTAAAATTTGTTGGATAATCGTCTCCAATAGACCACCATACAAACCTAAGGGTTATTTATAAGTAAACTGTACCTAATTTTTTGATTTGTTTTATAAATTACGCCAATCGTAGATTTAGGTTTATATTATATTGTTACTAATAAGTTTATCATAGTATTATAATTTTCTAGATATACCTATACTATTTATAATTGGGTTTTATTTTTTACTTTCTAACCCAGTAACCAATTATAATTTTCAAAATATTTGTGAATTTTCCATTACAAGTACTTGAATAACTAAGTACCTAAATATCTACGTTTTAATTAAAGAAAATCAGCTGTAAGTGTTCAACTTGATTTTTGTAGGACGTATAATACTGATACTATAATTTTTTTAAGTATTCAGTTCCATATGTTTTTCGTAAATCAATCTCAACTCTTATTTCCAACACAAACATTAGTAATTATTTTTCTAAATGGCTTGTAATAAAAAAGTTACTACATAAAATTAACGAATGAAATATTTCCATTACTATAAAAATTATACCCATACAAGCATAAATCTAACCACGTTCGTGGTTTTATCTTGTCTTAAGTCTTTAGCTATGTCGAGGATAAGGAATAAGGCGAGTGGACTGTATGTTTGTACGTAGAATGAATTTTACAAAATATAATTATAACAATTAAATGTATTATACAAGATATAGAAATCTTATATTGGCCAATGTAGATGGGTGGGACACTTAATACTAATGCCACTAAGATGATGATATAAACAAATAATAAATTATACAAGTGAGTCTTAGAAAGATAGATGAACAAGCATTATACTTATCTTTTAGATGAAACGGCTGATGATAATGTTGAATATTGAAAGGATCAATTGAAGTCGAATGCATGTAACTGACCAATGTGTACAATATGCTGTGGACGGTAATGTGATGTATCTCAGAAATTATATAGACCCAACGGCGATAAACTGAGCGCTCAGAATACGACAATCGCAAAGATGATATTTTCTTTTTACAGTAAAAACGAATACAAAACTACTGTCTCGCAAACGCCATAGAGCTTATTAGAGTAGAAGAAGCGTTAAGATGGCGGCGACAATGCTGACATAGAGAGAAAACCGACAACTCGATGTAACACAACGATAACATGAATATTCAACAAAACATTTTATTGACAGCATTTCGACCGATTTGTATCCAACAGATTCCTTATGTACTTAATTTTATGTACTTAGTTTTGTTAATAAGATTTATTTAATGTTTTTTATATAATTATTTTTTTGAATAATAATTCTACATCATAACTAGTTAAATAACTTTTGAAATTAAGATATAATTCTAAGTCAAAGTATAATATATAAATTATATTTATACAATTGATTAACCATATAAATGTGAAATTCCTTCAACTAAATAAATAAAATTGATATATTGTCTAAAAAATTAATTTTAGATAATATATTCTTAATAGGTATATAACTTTCATTAATAAAAACCCATTACAAAAGTTAGCCCAAAAATCATAGTCAATTTTAAGCTTTTTTTTTTACATATTTTTAAAATTTTTTTAATATTCAAAAATAATTTTTAATGTTTTTTTATATTTACATTTTATATTTAATTCTCAGATCACTGGACAGATTTTGTTTACTTATGCGTCAAAAGAACCCTATTTTAATCTTTCATCGGTGACAATTGAAAAAAAAATTTAATTTAGAAAAATACTTAAAAATATTTATGTAATACTAATCCAAATTAAATTTTAATAGAATATATTAGACCAAGAAGTTTTCTTTTGCCTGCTTTTTGCGACCATTTAATAAAAAACTTAAGTATAGAAAGGGTTTCAAGGAGACTAACCTCACATTTTAAT